ATCTCAGCTCACTGCAAGCTCCGCCTCCCAGGTTCACACCATTCTCCTGCCTCAGCCTCCCACGTAGCTGGGACTACAGGCGCCCGCCACCACACCCAGCTACTTTTTTGTATTTTTAGTAGAGACGGGATTTCACCATGTTAGCCAGGATGGTCTTGATCTCCTGACCTTGTGATCCGCCCACCTCGGCTTCCCAAAGTTCTGGGATTACAGGTGTGAGCCACGGTGCCCAGCCAGTGCCAATCTTACTTTAATTTAATGTGTCTGCCTTCACCTAGTGGCTCCTAGGACAGTGCTCAGAGTGTCTCAGACCTCTCTTTACTCCCAACCTGGCCTAGCTTGGGAGTGGTCCGGCATGGACCAGCCCCTTCCAACCCAGCCCTTGTCCCCCCACAGGGCATCTACGTCTGGTCAACGGAGCCCACCGATGTGAGGGGCGTGTAGAGCTCTACCTAGGGCAACGGTGGGGCACTGTCTGTGATGATGCTTGGGACCTGCGGGCAGCCGGTGTCCTGTGCCGCCAGCTGGGCTGTGGCCAGGCCCTCGCAGCCCCTGGTGAGGCTCACTTTGGCCCAGGCCGAGGCCCCATTCTCCTGGACAATGTCAAGTGCCGTGGGGAAGAGAGTGCCCTGCTGCTCTGCTCTCACATCCGCTGGGATGCCCACAACTGCGACCACAGTGAGGATGCCGGTGTCCTGTGCCAGCCTTCATGACCCAGCCCGCTCTGCACACCACCTCTTCTTCTGGGAGCTGTGATCTGCCCTCCCTCCTCCAGGAAGCCCTCCTCTTGTGACGACTACAGCTCACTTTGCCCCTTCTTCCCTTGCCTGGGAGAGAGCCTACCCAGACAGTGCAGTCCTGCGTGGGGGAGCCTGGCTGTACCCCCGTCCACTTACTGCGTGACCTCAGCCTGTCATCGACTATTGTGAGCCCAGTTCAGTGAAAGCTCCCGTGGTTTTGCTCAGCCAAAACCAAAACAAGGGGAAGAGAAATGATTCCTAACTCTTCTCTTTGGTGGGGCTCTTTTTATAGCACCAGCCCCTGCCTTCCTTGCCCTAGATCCAGGAGGCTCAGGGGCTCTTTAAATGGGGTATCTCCTCTTCCCCCAGTCCATCTTGGGATCCCCAAGAAGAGGGAAGGCAGGAGGGGCCTACATCTCTTACCTTGGGCCCTCAGGGGCTGCAGAGGAACCTGGGTCCCTGCCCTGCCCTGTTCCTCGAGGGCCTGGACTCACTCAGATGGTGCTCGGCTGGACAAGGGGACTGGGGGAGGGGCCAAAGCAGGGACAGTGGCCCCTCCCTGCAGCTGGCAGCATCTCTGATTTATGCCGTCCCCACCACAGAGCCTCCACTTTGCAGGGGCAAAGAACCCTGGGGGCCTGTAGCCACCCGTTCATAGGTGCCAAGTCAATAAAGCATTGTCCCCCATCTCTTGTAACTGAAGTCACTGTCTGAGCACAAATGTATTCTCTGTGGCAGCAGGAGAGACTCTGGGCAGGACTCTCGGGAGGAAACAGGGTTCGGGATGGAGGACGGTTCAAGAGCATCATCCGAGAGCTCTCAGCAGGTCCATCACATCCTGGAAATGCTGAGTCATGATGTCAGGCCTCCATGGCCCCTAGGGAGTCCCTTAACCCAACTCCTCTCTCCTTTCACATGTATAGAAATCAACGTCCAGCAAAAGGAAGCAGCTTGCTCAAGGCCACATAGCAAGGCATTGGAGTTGCTAGAGGAGAGAATTTTTTTTTTTTTTTTTGTAAGACGGAATGTCACTCTGTTGCCCTGATAAGTGCAGTGGCACAAACTCGGCTCACTGAAACCTTCGCCTCCTGGTTTCAAGTGATTCTCCTGCCTCAGCCTCCTGAGTAGCTGGGACTATAGGGATGCGCTACCACACCCGGCTAATTTTTGTATTTTTCGTAGTGACTGGGTTTCACCATGTTGGCCAGGCTGGTTTCGAACTCCTAACCTTAGGTGATCTGCCTGCCTTGGCCTCCCAAAGGGCTGGGATTACAGGTGTGAGCCACTGCACCTGGACTTTTTCTTTTTCTCTTTATTTTTTAAGAGACTGAGTCTTATTCTGTCACCCAGGCTGGAGTGCAGTGGTCTTCATAACTCACTGCAACCTCGAACTCCTGGATGCAAGCAATCCTCCCACCTCAGGCTCCCAAGTAGCTAGGACCACAGGCGCATGCTACTATGCCCAGCTGTTTTAAGATTTTTCTTGTAGAGATGGGATCTTTGTTACCCAGGCTGATCTCAAACTTCTGGCCTAAAGAGATCCTCCTGCCTCGGCGTTTCAAAGCACTGCGATTAGAGGTGTGAGCCACTGTGCCCAGCTGAGAAAAAATTCTCTTTCTTCGGTTTTGTTTTGTTTTTTGTTTCTTGAGACAGTTTTGCTCTTGTTGCCCAGGCTGGAATGCAATGGCACAGTCTCAACTCACCGCAACCTCCGCCTCCCGGGTTCAAGCGATTCTTCTGCCTCAGTCTCCTGAGTAGCTGGGATTACAGGCATGCGCCACCATGCCCGGCTAATTTTGTATTTTTAGTAGAGACGAGGTTTCTCCATGATGGTCAAGCTGGTTTCGAACTCCCGACCTCAGGTGATCTGCCCATCTTGGCCTCCCTAAGTGCTAGGATTACAGGTGTGAGCCACTGTACCCGGCCTTTTTTTTTGTTTTGTGTTCTTTTTAAAGACAGGGTCTCACTTTGTTGTCTAGGCTGGACTACAGTTACATGATACCATGTTGGTTCACTGCAACCTCTGCCCAGGTTCAAGCGATCCTTCTACCTCAGCCTCCCAAGCAGCTGGGACTGCAGGTGCATGCCACCACACCCGGCTAATTTTTGCTTTTTTTTTTTTTGTTTTTGAGATGCAGTTTCACTCTTGTTGCCCAGGCTGGAGTGCAATGGCATGATCTCAGCTCACTGCAACCTCTGCCTCCCAGGTTCAGAGCGATTCTCCTGCCTCAACCTCGCAAGTAGCTGGGATTACAGGTGCCCACCACCATGCCCGGCTAATTTTTTGTATTTGTATTACAGACGGGATTTCACCATGTTGGCCAGGCTGGTCTCAAACTCCTGACCTCAGGTGATCCACCTGCCTCGACCTCCCAAAGTGCTAGGATTACAGGCATGAGCCACCTCACCCGGCCAATTTTTGCCTTTTTTGTAGAGACACAGTCTTACTATGTTTCCTGGCTGGTCTTGAATCCCTAGTTTCAAGCGATCGACTGGCCTGGACCCACCAAAGTGCTGGGATTACAGGTATTAGCCGTCATGCCCAATCCCTTCTTTTGCTTTGAGACAGTTTTGCTCTGTCAGTCAGGCTGAAGTGCAGTGCTGCAATCATGATTCACTGCAGCCTCGACTTCCCAGGCTCAAGTAAGCCTCCCACTTCAGCCTCCCGAGTAGCTGGGACTATAGGTGTGTGCCATGACACCCCGATTTTTTTTTAAGTTTTTTTTGCAGAGAGGGGGGTCTCACTATGTTGCCTAGGCCAGTCTCAAATTCCTGGCCTCAAACAATCCTCCCACCTCTGCCTCCCAGAGTGCTGGGATGGCAGGCCTGAACCACTTTGCTTGATCTCTCATCTCCCTTTGTTGACTCTATGTCTGCCTTCTCCATCTTTTAAGGCCTCTTGTGATTATATTAGGCCCACCTGGGTAATCCTGGATCATCCTCCATCCCGAGATCCTTAATTTAATCACATCTGCAAAATCCCTTTAGCTGCATAAAGGAACATATGCACAAATTCCAAGGATTAGGGTATGGGAATACTTAGGGGCCAGTATTCTGCCTCCAACAGGCTCCAAATTGGGGTCATGGCTCTCAGCCAGGGAGTGAGGTGGATGCTTTGGCTCCAAACTCCATCGGCTTCTGGCAGTCATGGCTTTGTCTCCATTTGTCAGGGAGTTCTCTGAGCTGTGTCATTGGAGGATGAGACCTGGAGAAATGTTTCTTGTTTTGTTTTTTGCAAGATAGGAGTCTCGCTTTGTCACGAGGCTGGAGTGCAGTGACGCAATCTCAGCTCACTGCAACCTCCACCTCCTGGGTTGGAGTGATTCTCCTGCCTCAGCCTCC